TCTACTCGTTTCCTTATAATCCTCATTGTTTTATTATTGTCTCTTTTTCTCCTCTCTCAGTCTCCTCATCTAAAACTAGCACTAACAATGTGATGTTCACTTCTCTGTAACCAAGGTTAATGCTTTCAGTGCTCGAACTTTCTGTCAGTATGGAAAACAGACTACTAGCCTAAGATCACAAGCTCTGTGAAAGGAACAATGGCGTCTATTAACAATTTAAACAAATAAGTAAGAAAAGGCCACTTGATGTTGGAAATTCCTACTCATCCCGAAAGCTTACACATATCATGAGAAAAAGTAATTTAAATGTAGGTCCCAAAAATTTACCCAATGTTCGTGAGCAGTAATGATAAGCGAAAGCAGAAGTGACTGGAAGAAGCATTTACGACGGAGAATACTGTTCTCATTAGAGATATGGGTTTGAAAGTCTGCACCTTGTGAAACTGAAAACCGATGGCCCATTATTAGGTTGGTAAACTGCAATTATAACCGAAACAGTTCAATTATCCTCCTGCTACGCTCCACTTCTCTAATATTCATTAACAGCATGAAAGATCATAATTGGTCTGCAGTTCTTCAAAATGTGCTGAAGTCTATAAATGAATTCAAGCAAGAATGAGCAGCAGTTTCTAATTAATTAGGTCGAGTCCTTAAGGATAATGACATTATTCTGAGTTTCATCACCTTAGATATTAATTAGAATTTAAAATTTTCATAAGATTCTATACAACTGCTTCCGATCAATTGTAGTCTCAGTTTACGCAAAATCACTCAAGTTATCTGATGATAGTGCCAGCAAAATTAGTCTGATTAATACACTATTTAAAAATTTGATACCCTAATCACCCAATCCTTAAAAGGAGAAAACTCTTAGGAAGTAAAAAAAGTAGACATATAGCTCCGAAATATTTACCCTTTGGTCAGTTTTCTAACACAGAGGAGCAAACGGATGCATAACTCAAGTCACTCTCCTTGACCTAAATATGACAATCGACTAAGTCTAACGAGATTTCTTTTAGTAATTTTATCATCAAAGAGACACTGAAAATGTATGTAAACTTAATGAAGGCTTCCTACACGAATAATATTGATTCTACAGAGAACAGTCTTTTGAATGGGCTAACTTCAGTGGTACTTACAAGGCTACCTAGTTTACCTACCTTCACAATATTTTTGTTACAAAAAAAGCTTCGAGCAAAAACTCTCATTTTCACAGATTTACGAGATTCTGAAACATTAAGTGTTTTATCTGTATCTGATCAAGCGGCTAATAATGACTCTCTAAACTAAAATGTTAAAAATTTTTGCATGAGCATTTGTTAATACTTGAGCTACAAATGAGACACTAAATTGACTCAAGTATATTCAGAAATAAACAAATAAACAGTGTAGACGGTGTTATCTCAGACTGGCCTTAGTTGGGATAGCACTGGAGACCAGAGATCCATTTACTTATAACTTCCTTATCGCCACTTTGATAACTTCCATGTACTCCTACATACTGTGTGCACCAAAAGTACCCTTTGACTTGATTTATTCAATAGACCTTAATATCAATAGTGTACATACAAATCTTCAACTACAAAAATCTAAACAGATTACACATTAAATTGCCCACAGCCTAACTATGAACAAAACATGGTTGACGGCATTAGTTCAGGATTGTTATGACCTTATCTATCCCTAATAAATTTAGTCTTAATTATTTCATTGAAAAAGCTTGGAGAGTATTTGATATGTTACGATCCTGCCGATGTACTTCTATTCTAACCAACACGACAAGTGATATTCTTCTAACCTTAAGAATTGTTCTTGCTATATTTTTTATTGATTAGTTACAAACTGTGTTGGTTGAAATTAAATTCCCATACCAATGAACATAAAGTAACAGAATGGTTGGACTGTGTCAATGACGTTGATTTCCATAATAAAGTCAAAACCCTTGATATAAATCCATCCTAGTTTTTCGTAAACAAAATATCCTTTTTTCTATAGATTTGACATAAATCCGTTCTGATTGGAGGAATTTATTTATGGAAAAATCAATTTTACTCATTGATCGTAATTTTACGGTCAGATAAAGTAAAAAAGAAAACGCCTAGTTGTTTTAAATAGAACGATGTATTTATGTCTAAATGTACACTTACTATCGATCTAATATTTTTCTGTAGTCTAAAACTCTCGTAGTAAATTTTACTTTTATTTAAATAAAAGTATAGAAATATTAACCTCATGGATACTATAATACCGATTAATGTTATCTTACTACGAATTCAAGATTAAGAACTATGATTTTAAGAAAACATAATTTGAAATGACTTCGGAAACAAAACACTCAGAGTTTGGTTTATTATTTGGCTAAATTTTGGATATCTGATTCTTCAATTTTCAAAATAGATATACCATTATGGAATACCGACTGGACTTATGAAATCCTCTAAGCCTAGGCCTTTTCATTCCTAATACTTTTCTCTGCAATTCATTTTGAAAATCTCGCCCTCATCTAGATCCCTAAAGCCAGTGGAAGTCTATTGACTCTTTACAAAGACTAGCTAACCAATGATTTTAATTTCTAAGTTTTGACAAAGTCAATGCTTTAAATCAAACTGTAATTAGAGTCGAGTATCATAAGTGATGTTTGTCCTCGCTGCTACTCATTTTTACTTAGTCGCCTTAATGAAATGCTCCTAGCAACGGTTTCTCACCTGGACATTCGCTCGTTAGCTAACAATATCCAAAGGGTACAATTCTGTTTGACAAAAATACTGCAAAAATGGAGAGTCGTTCAATCACCTTGAGAAAACATAATAATGTTTTTGGTGCATTTCTTTCTATCAAGATATGAAATGTTGTTCTTGGTATGATCTGAGTTAAAATCTAGTCTAAGTATACGGAATGAGGTAGTCCAGCGTGTTGACCACTATACGTATCTCAGAAATCATATTACTTTTGATAATTTGGTGGCTCAAGAAATCTTAGCACTGATGCAAAAACTGGTGTGATGATCCCCAACTTACACCACTTTTAAATTTATAGCTCTTAAATATGATCAACGTAGATTATCATCATAAGTCTCTTCAAGGATTGCCCGAGTGAGTAATCCACTTAGACAAGGAATCAAGTAAAAATGGCAATTCGGTTGTTGAGCTTAATCAAATGGGGTGATTGTAATGTGTTAAGAATACCCAGGGATAAAACATTTTGAAGTGCTATGATCGCTGGTATATGAGTGAGTTGGAAGAAGTCTAAGGACACCAAAACAAAGATATAGTATCAACCAATGAAAACACTGATTATAGCTATGTAAAAGGACGTAGATTTCCTGGTTAGGACCCGTATAATGGTCGTGATCTATCATTAGGAACTTCAGGTGAGAAAATCGACCCGATGCAACTACAGTCAATCTTCTTCTCACTGTATATTTCGACCTTAGCATCATTCCACACTGTTCATTCTCGACATTTATCCCTTTTAAGCTATAACTTCTATGTTTAGCTTCCCACTGCAGAGAATATCTCGTTTACCTTGATTTCCTTTTTGTCTTGTTAATTTTTTTCATTATTTGTGCTTATGCAAAATGTTGTGACTTCAACTCATACACATTCAAGCCAGGTTTAACATTGTCTGTTTTCGGCCTTTTCGCCTATTTACATTTCTAAATTGATGCCGAGGTTGGAATATAAACCACCTGTAAATCTAATTACCTAAACTGATTAAACTAAATTCTATTATTTTCTCATGCTAATACTCATCTGATTTTTAATTAATATACTGAATAACATCTACAAGGCACATCAAAACGATTTAGAACATGAACAGATAGTGGACACTGCGCTTGGACTCAAAATGAACAACTATTTCATTCAGTTAGTATTAATTCGTAAAACAATTACCTTACCATGTAATTATTTGTTCCAATAAATAGTAATCTTAATTACAACGAAATTAGTCCAAAATATTTTGATACAAGCTAAGTAAAGAAAAACTCCGTTATTGTTTTCAATATGTTTGTATAAACGCAATGACGAAATGTATCACCAGCTGAACTGGGTTTTTTTTTCACTTTGTCAATACTCAATTAATTATTGTTGTATAATTTAGATCACTCAGCTGATAAAACAAGCGTTAGAGATAACTAAATATTTTCTTAATATTTCCTCGAAAAAAAATATTAGAGTGAGAATGTGACCATTCACCCAACCAACAGAATCATTGAAAGCTTGATTAAAAGCAAGAAGTTAACGCCCGTTCATTTTAAAAACAATATTTTTATTTATTATCTAAAATTCATATAATTCACATAATACAATTAAAATGAAATATAACTGTTTTCTAATTAAAACATGAAAATAATAAGAAATTGGTGAAACGATTACAGTTTTCTAGATACATAGAAGAATGTAGAAGAAAAAAAAACAATCAAATAATTTATGACAAAACACACACTAGTAACAGCGAAATTCAGTCTTTTTCTCACTTTCTACATAAAATGATACTAACGATAGACATAAGAGATGACAATAGGCTAATAACAAAGACTGACCATTTAAAAAACAAAACTGCTGAATTATATTATCAGCTACTTTTAAATCAAAGTATACTAAGATTAAAATAATCACAGATGGGTTCAAAAAGAATGATCATCCCATTGACTTAATTATCTTACCAAATAAATAATAATTTTCTATATGATAAGAAGAACGAATGAAAATTGAATGTAAATTCAAAGGAAGAACAATTCCTTGCATAAAATGTCTTAATTTATTTTACTATCTACGCTTTTTATGGTAATGTTTACAAATCTGAAGGTATTGTGATAGAAAAGGAAAAAAAGAACATAAAAGAGGTGGCAAAACACAAATGATAGTAAAAAAAGAGACTAACTTTGGTATTATCATGTTTTTTTTTAATCTAATAACGTTTTCTTTGTGTATATGTGCACTTGAAAAACTACTCATAAATTATAGTAATAATAATTATTATTATTTTAAAAAATACTATAGGATTCAAGAGTTTCATGTGTATATTAATAATCTAATGAAGCTAAAAGTGAAGGCAGATAATGAGAATAAATAATAGAATGATTGTGGTTTAACTGCAGTTATTGAATTGCATAGATCTTCTGTGCAATGACAATAACGAATTCGTACATCATTTGTTCCAACACGATCAATACAACCCAGATTATCGATAACATTACTGCATTGACGTACTACACGTCTTTCATGTTCCACTAAAGGTAAAATATGTATATTACATAAAAATATGATCAATTAATTAGAATTTGTTCATGGATTACAAAGAAATAAAACAAAATACATCTTTCCTAGAAAATCAATCACTAGTTTATCCGGTATTATTTTTTTTTGATAAAAAAATGAAAGCAAATGCACTGAAAATCCACGAAATGACATTCTTTCTATTCTGTTGTGCGACCGAATATCATTATTAGGACCAATATAATGGATTCTTTATCAAGCCATAAAATTAAGTAGTAATCTTCGAATTTGCAAGATTTTTTTCTACAGGACGGGGTTGCTGACCCCATGCCCAACCCTCCTCTTCTACCCGGGCTTGGGACCGGCAGTAACTCTAGAAGAGCTACAGAAAGTAGACATAAGGACGATTAGCAACTAGGAAGGATTGCCCAGGACAGGGTTGAGTGGAGAGTGCTGGTGGGCGCCCAATGCTCCTTCACGAGGGGTAACAGGTGTAAGTAATCTCCGAAGTATCTTCACTATTTTAAAGTTAAAATGTGATGCTAATATAATATAAACCACCATATTATCCAGTCGAAGTGCTTGAACACTATTATTATCAGAAATAATACACTTCAATCTGTGTAACTAGAAACTTCTGCTATCATTTGTAGAAATAAATTACTTTATAACTTAGTATGTGAACATGTAGAAAGTTAATGTATCAAATTTACTTTGTTTTATAAAATGGGAGAAACATTGGTCACTTCAAGTTAACTTACAATTAAGCCTGTAATAAATTAACGTTTACTTGATCTGACCTCTTATAAACAGACATTAGGTGAAATTTAATGCGTCAATGATGAAATCCATGAAACATGAGTACTGTCTGAAAAAAAACTAGTCTTTTACCATCAATAAGTACTCAAGCAACACGATAGTTATTCGATAATTTGTGATTTCAAGTTTTGCAAAAATGTTCTTCGAGCAGTCAGCTTTTCAAATCAACCAATGAAGTGTGGATTCTAGAAAATCTTGAGATCAGCTTAGCAAAAACTGTAACATCAGTAAAACCACAAAACCATGTCCATCCACCTACAGTCAGAGGTATTTGGTCACAATTACTCCTGCAGTTTTGCTTATGGTAATATAAAGAAGCCTCTTCGTCACTGTAGTCACCAAACAATCAATAGGCCACACAGATCCCTACCTTCTCAGAACTCCGAACAGAACGCCGGAAAGTTAGACGAGTAGTCATGAGTACCGACCTGCATTTTTACTTAGCCTAAATAATTATATAAATAAAATAAAAGACCGAAAGCCACTACAATCTATTACCTTCAATATGTACAAAACCAGGTCGAGAGGGAAAGCGAACTCTCCCCACCCTCATTAAAACGGAACCTTTGCAAGTCATCGGGTTTCTGAATAAAATAAACCCACCGTAACGAAACTTGGTTTCACAGTTGATGTTCCACTAACTTTAACTTCGCGGAAAATAAGTGTAGTTTTAATTCCAGGTAATTCATAATGAGAAAAATGTTTACGTACAAAAACCGGTTAAGAAACCCAATCAAGATTTCATGTGAAAATTATGGAAATCTAAATCAAACTATGATTAGTTTAACAGGAGTAACTTTACTGAAAACTCAAAAATTAGTGGTTGATTTTCAAACATTCTCACTGGTTCGTAAAATACGCTTCAAATAACTAAACGAAAAATACCGAAACTCAGTTTTCTTTAATAGTACTAAAAAAGAGGGGACAATGAAGATATGATTATCGAGACAAATGTTTGCAAATTACGATAAATCATAACTAAACTACTTCTTGGTTAGCAAACAATCTCAAAATAATTCGCAACTTTTAACACGATGAAACTGTACTTTCGTTTTACTCAAAAATATGTAAAGCGGCCACATACGAATTTTACATAGTGTCTAACTTATTGCGGATCATTAATGTGACACAAAAGAACTAAAACAACTGCTGCATGGTACTCAACTTTCAATATTTCTGTTTGACTATCCCCAAAAACCCAATGATCTACATCACAAGTCACATAACTACAGTACACCGTATATTCAAACGAGATATCAATTGATCAACATTTCTTGGCATAAATTTAAATGTTTCGATTAGCCAAGAACTTCATGCAGGGATATTATTCCTAACTAGTTAATTTTCCACCACGTACTAAAAATCCCTTTACTGTCTGGTTGAAGGTTTATTAATTTGATTCTTCTGACGTTTAACAAAAAAGGCTGATTCTTGATATAATACCAAACTCAAATTTCGAAAAAATACTATGTAATCACAGCTGAGATAAGACTGGGCTAACTATGACAAATGTTGAATTTCATTCTCGAAGTTGTTTCATTGTTGTCATATGGGCTTACAATAAATCTTATTGTAAACAAACTCAAGCGTTTAGGTAACTTTTGAAGCCCAATAAAACGGTTGGAAAGTATACATAAAGAAAATTAGTAATGTTCCTATCACATATTCGTCAATCCTCTTGCATTTAATGACCAAGAAATATAATACTAAAACTCAGATTTTTATCACGAACTGACCCCAGTTGGATGACTACTGTAAATTACAGATCAACTACCGACATACTACAAGTATTGATATTACGTTCCTATCATAGAGTAGTTCACTTACCAACTTGATCGATTTTACGACAGCTTATTGGTTTGGACGCATCAATTCCGGGATACTTTGAACAGTTTGTTATGAATGTAAACTGATCCCAAGGTTCGCATAACTGGCCATCAAGATAGGAATTGCAGACCACGCACTGGATACCATAGACTGAAAAAGGAAACATCTATTACCTTGAACGTTTTATGTCATATCACAAATTACCATAAGTCAATAACTTGAAACTAAGTAATTGTACTGTAATAATATTGCATGTAATTAGTGACAAATGTTAAATCTAGCAGGAAAATTTCAACTGACTTTCATCTAAACTGTAAACCAATAGGTTGTATGAGACCTCAAAACAGAGTTTATCCTGTAATAATACACTTTTATGTAAATGAGTAAAACAATAATAGGTTAATCTAGAAGTATGGGAGTTTAAAATTGATGACACTCAATCTTCGAAAAGTTCTTTTCCTCAAACTTATCATCGAATAAATTCCCCAGCATTATTATCCATTCCACCTAGATGAAAACACCTGGTTGTATGGAGGATGTGACCATATCGACAATAGTGACACCTAACCACCTAAAAGGTGACGGTAATTCAATAACCTAAGATTAGATGGGGTCTGGGAAAAGACCGTGATAATCAGTTGTTACTAGGTTACTCACTTCTAAACCGAAACTTACCTTTTGAAGAACAAGTATACGGGAATAGATCAAGATTGAAACACTGAATTATAAAATTTACTCTTATTGGTAAAATGTCTGGTAATGTAATTGTAAATGATTACGAATCTGAAGTGATTCTGTCCCAAAAAGAACTAACTAAAACCATTACATAGGAGTATTCTAAAGTTTGCATTTAGGATTTTAAGATTCACGCACAAAAACGGTCAACTAGTCCTCTTTACATTTAATTTAAATCACTCACATATACGGATTTTTGCGCGGTACGTTTGAATCGACTTCAACTTGATATCAAGAACTTTTCATTAAATAGGGTATATTGTGTGGAGATACGAAAGATGCAGTCTTCAGAAAGTCACTTATACAAATCTTCAGCTAGTAAATCACTTGAAATCGCACGTGATGGAAGTCGTAACCTTTCACAGGAACCAGTTTATCATCTATCTATCTTTTCAACAGTGACGAACAATCGTTTGTTATTCACAAAAATACGAAAATTACTGATGAAGGTACTTATCTCAATCTAACATCAGCTTTTCTGAGAAAAACATACATCTCATAAAACACCATTTAGGTAAATTAAAATAATGCAGAAAACCAACAGTAATATACATGAACTATGATTATCCACTGATTACATAAGAATAATTTAAAATGGTGTCTTAACTAGAGTGTGCTAAGGTTCTAACAGGATATGAATTCCAAAGTAAAGTTCTGAGAAGTCCTCAGTTAACTGCAATACCGTCAATACCTCTTTCTTTTTCTAGTAGTTCTAGTACTATAGGTCTTAACAACTGTAATTTGTCGAACCCTGGAGTTTATGTTAAAATAATGTCATATTTTTATTAACTAAACGAAATTTGCTTATTTCACGAAAGTTTCTAGCCTTATAATTCATCATATTTTTCGGATTCACATTCAGAAAAAGTGTACAGCAATTACAGAAGGGACTGAAGTCCAAAAAATATTTACTGTATATTACTTTGAGAATACATTATGATGTAATTTCACGACAATTAAAGGTACAAAGCTAAAAATGTAATGTGGGAATCTCCGGAAATTAGTAGTATATTGACATGAATGGTTTTATCTGAGTTATTTGTTATATCGCGGCCATAACACTTCATTTTGAAAAATTTAATCTAAGAAAATATGGAAGTCCGTTACGACTGAAAGAAAGCAGTACACTTAAATCAGTTTGTTATTAAGCCATGATAACTACAGCTGAAACTTATTACAAAACTTATTGGTGTATTTGCAATAAAGCGATGTTTATTTTCACTTGTAAAACTACATCTAGGAAATAAAATACTAACCTGATTCCTGTTGTAAAACACATAAGAATACAACTATTACTCCCAATGGCAAATGGCTGACGAAATAGTGAGTCATTTCCACAGCATTAATTGCTGCTTACAGCCAAATGAAATCCTGTATTCAGGGCAAGACTAAGTCAAAAAAACTTATTCCCAAAGGTTGTACGATCTTGTTAAAACTGACCAAACTGATGATTTGTCAATGGGATGAGTTTTACCACACTCCTACTTATTAACGAATCAGGTCCAAGGGAATAATAAGTGACCTTGAATGTCAGCCCAAAAATCTAATTAGACCTGAAATACGTAGACCGGGATTTAATCGCACCACGGCAATTAGCGTCAAAGCGTTTTTGTTAGCGAATCATGCTGGTAAAACCCCAAAATTTAAAGAAATGTATCCATTTGGGGCTAAATATTGTGAATACAGTTACAACAGCAGACGGTCGTATCAGAAGATAGAACCAACGATTGAAGAAACAATATCACTTCAATTAGAATGATGAACTGAATCATCGAAATAAGGGTGAAAATGAACCATTATGACAGTATCCAAATCATATTAATAATTAAATATGCCTAGAATGCATGGTTGTAATGAAATGAAATCCGATACATAACAAAAGTCCTCCATGGTATGATTTATTTTAACAAATGACGATCACATTTATCAACAGTAATTAATAAATCCCCGAAGTGATCGATATTATAATGTTTGGTTGAGTGGTCTGTAGACGTTAGTTCATCCTAAAGACATTTTTTGCAAACTGGCATCAGTTGGACGACTATCCTATTGTATAAAGATGTCTGAGATCCTACTTCACAATATTGAACTTGAATTTTCTGAACGAGCCACAACTTAATTGTTGTTATTATTACCCATGTTTTACGATATTCCGAACAATAAATACAACTTTAATTCGTCATTACATGATGGATAACGTAGTAGTTGGTTGATTTTAAATAGTACACACCGTGGTAAGCTAGTTAGATAGTCTTGCACAAACTAATGATCTAAAGAATATTCAAAATCCATGTGGTAAGCCATCCACTTTGGACTGTAAAACCATTTGGGTCTCAATACTAAGCAAAGAAGAGTTGTTTTTTCGATTCTAGATACTTTTTGATGGGAAATGTCAACACAAATAGCCACTAATTATCAATCAGACTGTAAAAGAGCATCAAAAACCGAACTACTAAGTGGACTTCATATATGAGTGTACTTGCTTTAGTTAGTTGCAACATGGTAAGAGCCGAATGGGAATAAGAAAAACAAAAAACCTCAATGTCAATAGAAAATGAAATATGAAAACTCAGTAGGTCGTGATTGATGTAACACTGTAAACATGTGGCTTTCAGACCTACACACGGGTAATACGTACTAGGTCAGTAGTGCGGTGGTTGACTGTTTAAGAAGTTCCACTTTCAACTGACAGGTCATGAGTTCGAACCATTCCCCCATTTCAGTTTTGGCACCAACAAAGTCGGGTCACTCTGTTCCCGAATTTCGTGCTACTTATCACTAGTAAGTAGTGTTTTCTATATGCATAAATCTGTACACGGTTAATCAATGCGTGTTAACTACTTTTGTTATGAGAAAGGAATAATTTATTCAATAAACATACTGCCTGTTATCACAGAAGGATGTAAAATATGGAAAAATCCTGCGGTAATTTTATGTAAACTCTTAATAATCAAGTTCTCTAAAAGATGAATCTGATGAATGGTAAAATCAGAAGTATACGATTATGATTTCCCACTATACGACCACCAAAATAATAATTTCTATGTCATTGGAGAAAAAACTATTCTTCTGGTCCAAATGTTGTGTAGTATGCGTAGCTGATTCTAACTGGTTAGATCTTATCCTGTTTGGTCGAACAGTTGTTTGCCTATTGTCCATGAACGGATTGTTGGACTGAAACAAGGAAATAAAGTGTCTTGCCTGATAAATATTTAAATGCATCCCATTGCAATATGCTCTAATATCTACGTTATTTCAGTCAGTCTATGACTCTGTTGAATAAATCTCGGTTATATATGTGGTATATTCCAGCACTCATTAGAATCACACGAGATAAATTAATATAGGTTAAGGAAATTACTACATATGTGTATCTTTACTTCAAAAATGATTCATCTGCTGCTTCTGTATAGCGGATGTATGCCGTCTTTCGAGAACATGTTTCCGTTAGGCAATTATTTCCTAAAAAATCAAAAGATAAAATATTGCATACTATCAGTTCGCCTCCTCTTTGAATTCAGAATCATTGGTTGTCCATGGATGACGTATGGTGAGCACTGTTATGTTTGGTTGCTAAAAGAGATAACATTGTTTACTTAAGAAGTTCTACAATCAAACAACTCTTTTTATTAAATCGTATTTGATCTCATTAAACTCTACCCTAACCTGAGGGTTAACACCCTCTAAACTAGTTAAGGTCTCACATATGTGTGTGAAAACTTTAATAACAAGTAAAACAAAATTGATTAGTCCCATTTTAACTTTTGACCGTACCATGCGATTTTCGAACGTAGCCTGACATCTTTTAAGTTCATTGACAACTCACATCTAATTATTTTGTGATCTCGAGTTTCCCCTTGATGAGGTTTTGTATGAGAAAGCATTTAAGTAAACGTAATATACCCACTTAGATATAAAAATAAGAAAGATTAGTACAGAGAAAAGTTCTCTTTTCAGTTAATTTATTTTCAAAGCCATAAAATCGCAAACATATACTTATTTTTCAAAATGATAATAATTTCAATAACTGTGATAATAAAATTTCCCTAGACATGGTAACAATGAAATAAAATAAGTTAAAGTACAAAAACGTTTTTTTTTAACAAGGAAACTAATAATGGTGTTGGGAGCTTGAATATTCATCATGAAGATAAATAAAGAAATCATAATTTAAAATGGAAGGCTCAGAGCGATAAAACATGTTGAGGTTAAGAAGAACTGTAATTAGAAGGATCATGGAAATGGAACCAGATTAGATGGGTGTAAAAGGTCTATGGAGAATAAGATAGAAGGAAAGTAGATGACTGTTAGAGAAGAAAAAACTGCAGGAGATTAAGGCTTCGATAGAAGAAGAGGTTTTGCAAGTTTCTTTTGTATACATAATTCTGGCTTTTCTGAGCGTATAGTAAGTGTTTCGACAATGTTAGGAAGACAGAATGTAACTGCCTTTGACAGCTTTCTACTTTAGTTGTAGTGGTCATTCGATCAAAACGGACTCGCGGTCACAGTAAGTCCCCATTTGCAGACTGATGAAACTTGTTAGTGTGTATTGTGGCATCGAGTTGCGTTTGACTATGAACACCACTACAAGAAGAGCGCGTACCAGAAAATCAGAAGGCGAATGAAGGTTGTATTATTATTATTTGAACACATGAATATTGGTACAAGAGAGCGCCAATATATATGCGCCACACAAAACAATGAGAATTCGAAGAGAAGTAGAAAAAAAACTAAGGAGCGCAAAAGAAAAAGAGAACAATGACGAAGAGATTGGAGTAAGGTAGTGTGGTAGTAACGAGGGAACGAAAAGGTACAAGATTTATTCTTTGGCGATCTAGTGGTATCGAAAGTATACCGAGATCGTGCCAAAGGAAATACAAGCGGAATCAATGGGCAAACGTGCGAGCGTACAAGGCCACAGTAAACGGAAGAATAATGAGGTAATAATGGACGTCTTTAGTACAGTTAAACAAACAAGCACAGTAAAACAATCACTGGTACAATTGGTTATAATAATAATTGTTCCCATTAAACCAATTGCGTTCTCTTGATAAAAGTCGGTCACTACAAGTGAATCTACATCAATAACTCAATATATTCAAATAACTTTGTTCTATCCTTTCGACCAACATACTTGAACAGTCTACTTTCATCAATCACAAAGATTTATGTTATCCCGTTGTTGATATTCAGAACAAAATTCGATGAGTCTATGCTAAGAAACACAGATCAAAACTCAGCTCTAAATGTCGACAACGTAATAACAAAAACTCTTAGGATTAGACATTATGGTTGTCAGTCATATCTATCTGTATATAATTGTTGATGCTCATAACTTAAATCCAGTAACTTCCACTTAAAACACAGGATTTGCTATCTATTGAGATACTAAGTCAAAACAGCCACTAACTTATAAAACGCGGATGAATTTTATTATTTATCTATAAATGTGCGAAGCGAAAGGCACCGGATTAAACTCCTAGCGTGAACATTGGGATGCAGATACATTCAGCTGACGGGAATTAAACAGAATGAAATATGTCTCCTAGATTCCACT